TGGGCTGCCCCCGCCGCCGCCGGGAGCCAACCCCGCTGACTACTACCACCAAATGACGCTGATGGCCGGCCACCCGAACCCCTACGGGGACCTCCTGATGCAGAGTGGGGGAGCAGCCAGCACAGCCCACCTCCACGATTACCTCAGCCCCGTCGACGGTGAGTAGTGGTCCGGGTCCTCCTCGGCACGGCTGAAATTTTGGGACAGATGGATGGGGCTGTCCTCCAGGTGGAGGTTGCTGTACGTGGTCCCTCTGCCCTGCCGAAACCCACCAGTGCTGCACTATAATTTTTGGTATAAAAGGTCGCTTTGTTCCATATATGTGTATAAAATAGAGATAATTTGAAATACGTATGTTGTGGCCTCTTCGGAAGGATGGCGTGGCTGCTGCACGGGTAGGAGATGGGCTGGTCCAGCGGGCAGGGCGTTGCTGCCGTCCTGCTGCCTTGGCCACGGGTGACCACACCGTCCCTGGGGGCGAGCTCCAGCTCTAGCTCCCCATCCCACCCTGTCTGCCCCCGGGTTTAGCCTGGTTGGTGTCTGGGGCAAAGGCTGGCCGTTTCCATGCATAGCCGTGCTCAGCACGGTAGACTCCTCATCTTGGTTGGGACCTCTCAGGTCCCCAAGGAGAAAAAAATATGTTAACGGGAGCCACGGGGGAGACGATATGTTAGTACTTCGCGAGAGAAAAAAATTGCAGGAATGTGGTATTTATGCTAGTATCAGGCATTATAACCCCAGAAAGTTCTGGTTCCTGGCTAAATGAAGAAGTAGTAAAATCATGTCAGGCACTGCGGTGCTGAGTCACCCCTGCAGCCTGACCGCTGTCCTGATGAGAAGGGTAAAATCTATGTGGAAACGTATCCGAGGTCCACGAGATTTTTAGAGCCATTGGAAATTTCTTTCCTTTCACTTCATGCCACGTCTTGTAAGAACTGGGGTGGCACAGATATTACAGTTTGGGGATTATTTCTTCTGCAAGAAAGAGAAATCTTGGCTCAACTTTCAGATACCGGCTTCTGTTTCCTGGGCTGCCTTTGGATTTGCCTATGGACCATTATAATTTTTGGAGTGGAGATCTGCATCATTTCATTACCGCTTCAAAGTTTCTGTTGTTGAGCTTTTAAGATGAAAGACTTTGTGGTCTTGCTGCTTCATAAAGTGACTGGTTTAGAATGATAAAAGCTGCTCTGGCTGTTCAGTCATAGGGGCTTATAGATATTTCTAACGAAAGAACAATTTCTCATCTGCAGCTGCTGCGGAAGTTTTACCTGAATAGTCATTTTCTGCTGCCAATTGCTAGATTGATTGGGCACCTGGATCCTAGTCTGAAAAGGAGAGCACATGCTCCTTGCTACCATCCTGCCTCTAACACCCAAAATATATTCTGAGCTTCTCTGCCACAAAGCAGCTGGTCAGTAAGATTGCTCTGTCTTCCCTCCAAAGGGTTAATGTCTGTGGTTATAGCAGATGGGTGCAAAGCAGCCCTGCCAAGTTCTTCTCGGGCTCATGAACAAGACTCTTTCCTCCTTGCCTCCTTATTAGTCCATCTCTGACCAGCGGTGCCTCACTGAAGTGCCAGATAAACAGCCAGTACGGGAAGCAAACACAACTGTTTTCATGCTAGCACAGGCTGACTCTCAGCACACCAAGATGCCCATTCTCTGGTTTGCTGAAGATCAGTCTTTGTCTGAAGTCGTCTGAGATACTCCCATTGGCAGAAGACTCTCCTCCTGCTTGCCTTCTCCTGAAAACGGCTCTAGAGTAAATCATGTATCAAAGGTCCTGGTTTCACACAGCCAAGCTCATAACCATTACTCACTGGAAAGCCAGGGCTCGCCAAGTATTTATTTTGATCTTTCAGTAAAGCTTTGTTGATTAGTAACTGGAAAGCCTTTTCTGGGCCTTCACATGCTCTGAGTGAGATGAAAACTTTCAAACATCATGAGGATATGACACAAGACACCGGTGGGCTACTTTTTAAAAATGTGAAAAGGAGCAGCAGCCAGTCTCTGGTCTACATGTTCGGGTTTATCCGTCAGCCGGAGAGAAGACAGATTATCAAGGTGGAGGCTGAAATGGACGGCTCTGAAACACTGGCTGAGGAACCAGAGTCTCCCTCCCTTTTTAGAAAGTTATTTCAAAAATTTAAATCAGCGGGGACTAAGTAAATAGTTGAACAGCTAATTTAATAAAGCATCCTCTTATGGTGCTTTTCTGAGACAAGAATATCAGTAGCATGCATAAAATGCCAGTGAGTCACCGCCTCACAGCATCTTTCGTTCAGAGAGCCCTTTTCTTCCCAGAAAGCCTAGAACATAAGAACTTTACAAGAATCAGTTTGCTGAAAATACAGGTAGCTCCTGTCAAACCACATGCAGCACCATCACACATCTGTGATAACACTGGCACCTGCAAAAGAAAAGGAAGCAGATAAGCATATGTTAAAACTGGCCTATTCAGTGTCACGTCACCTCCAAACATCTGCAGGTCCATGGGAGCCCTAGACACTGGTAGTTCTTCCACAGACACATACCTGGGCCCTTCTGGTTGCTGTAATTGCATTTCTTGGACAATTTCTCAATGCCTCCTTGTTTGTCGGTGTTTTTTCATCCCATCAGCTGTCTAGGGTCTAGGGCATCAATGTCGGCTGGAGCTTGTTGGTACTGACCATGTGTCAGGTCTGCTGAGTGTTTCAATGGTGACTGAGCTAGGGTGCCCCAGAGCTGCATCTCTTTAGCAGGGTTTTCACTGTGCAGCTAGAAGTAGTTAAACCACTAAAGTAGACCAAATTTAAGTTTTATGCACCAGACTGCTGGGGTCTTCAGGCCAGTGCCAGTGGAGACTAAATAACCCTTCAGTTAGCTGTCCTGTTTCATTCTGTCATTCAAACAGGGACTCTAAATTCAAGAGCGGAGTTTGAATCCAGGCTTAAATCCATTTTCTGGAAAGCCTACACTTTGAAATCAGAAGTTAACTGCTTTCCAATGTCACAGCATTGCTGGTGGGACACTTTTGAGACTAATTTACAGGGTCTATTCACCAGATCAAAACAATCTTTTGCATTTCTATTCTAGAAGTGGGTGCCACATGGTGGATTATTCCAGGTGACAGAGTGGTTGCACAAGAGCATCCCTGGGGCAGTAAAGACCGGTGGGGAGCACAGATGAACCTGGAGATGACTACAACTCTTTGAGCATGTTTAGTGCATCCGACTTTTTTTTTTCCTAAGCACAAGGGCTCCTGTAATTACCCTCAGCCCTTCAGGAGGTGCCATTTACTCTCAAGAGAAGCGTATCCAGACTGTCTCGGTGCTTGTACTGTTATAGCCCTGTACATCAGAAGATCTCAAAGTACTGTACAAAGCAAAGCTGTTTCATCACTGGAGACCCCGAAGAGAAAGGAGATCAAATGATCAGTGAGCAGAGCAGTGGCAGCTCTGGGAACGAGACCCCCCGATCTTCAGAATAAGGACTCTCATGGCCAGGGTGGGAAGCAGAGATCATCATCAGAGAACATCACTTCTGTTTGCACAGTGTCGAAAGTGTAAGTGGGTTGTCCATACTGAGTCAGAGAATGGGGGAAAAAGGTCTTGAGTTCAACTGACGTCCAAGCAGCACTGCACGGAGGTAGTCACTCAGGTCAGGAGGGCTGCATAGATGTGTTTGTGCAACCTTACAGTTACCCACAGCAGGGATGACCCTGCAGTGCTGTCATGGCATTTCATCCAGTTGTGGGTGAACACGAGGGGGGATCCCTGCCCTGTTTCTTGCTGCCTGGTGCATGGCAGTCACGAATGTCTTGATCATGACCAGCAGTTTAGCTGGAAAAAGGCTTTGTTCAGCGCAGGAGAGCCAACCGGCTAGCGGCTGGCGCAGTTGCCTGGGATGTGGGCAAATCATCAAGCAGGATTTTATTCCCCCAAGTCAAACAGTGATTCAGCTTCACTGGCCTCTTTCAGCCAGTGTTGTTGGAGCCTTTCTACTTCAAGTAAATTATTTAATAGCCATCACGGTAAGGGGCAGGGCTGGCAGTGCAGCCCAGTGGTTACTGCAGTCAGCAGGCGTGTCTGCGAGAGGTGAGCTCAGGACTCCCCTCCAGCAGGTTTATGTGAAGCAACTGCTCCACCAGGACGGACGGAGAGAGCCCAGCCTCACGGCGTCCTAGGAAAGAAGTGCCTCTTCTGGGGCTTGAGGGACCCGCAGCTCGGGGTTTGCAGGCTGGATATGCTGGATTACAGATGACTTCTCAAACAAGCCAGCTGTTGCCTACTCTGGACAGACGGCGCGCCCTGTAGTCGCTTCCTTAAAAACTCTGAAAGATCTTTTTTTCTGTTGTTTTCTTTGTCCCAGCACAGAATGGAAACTTGCTGAAATCTCAGAAAAGATTCAGAGAATGGGAAACGATTTCCCACCCATTTCTAGCCAGCAACGCTGTTTTCCTCCCCAGAAAAACATGTGCAGAAAAGAGAAAAAGTCCCAGAGCATCCCATAAGCGCTCTGTCTGGAATCCCGCTGTACTCTGGTTTCTAAAGAATTCAATTTACATATGCAAGTTGGGTCGTCTAAACAGTTACCTTGTGGATTGGGAGTAGAAGAATGCAGCCTTGTCTTTCAGCGAGGATTTGAGGGAAGCATTAGTATTCCTTGAACTGCAAAGTTGATCGGGCCCCGGGGAGGGAAGAAAGAAGGGTCCCAGGACAGCATCTGGTGCCAGAACAAATGTCCAGCATCTGCTGCAGTCTAAGTAAGACGTGTGTTGCCGCTGCAGAAGGGGAGAGGGCAATAAGGAACTGGTTATATGAAGAGTGTTTGTAGTTTATTGCTGCTGCTTATTGATTAAGGGATCATCCTGTGTTTTTATGCTGCCCTTGGATTTAATCTGATGATGGGAGGAGGGGGATATTTCTGTACGCTTTGGGTGGAGTTTTCTTGGTGAAAGGCCAGGAAGAGGGACCATTTTGATAACGCTGTATTTATCCCGGGGCTTGGCCAGGGGATGCAGGGTGAGTGGTGGCTCTGGCCGTGTTGCAGTGAAGAGGGGGGCTGAGCCGTCTGCAGCCCACGTGCCTTACGGGCTTGGCTGTTTAGAAGTAGATTCCGCCGATGTCGCTCTGCAGTTGAGATCACGGCAGCATATCTGTAAAGAGATGCCTGAG